TTGCGGAAGCCACAGAGGAACGGCCATTGACTTTTGGAGGTTGGGGAAAGGCCGCGATGCTTATCGTCCTGCGAAGCGACTTCTCAGGACTGGCCGGACTCCGACCTCCTGACGCTGACCTCAGGCTGCCTTGGTTAGAGATTGAAGTTGATAGTGGGGACCTGTTAAAATTCGATCTAGGGCTAGAGGGCGTGCGCAATTTGGAAGATGAATGTGATGGGGATGACGCCCTCTGTATGTCAGTTGATAGGGGCAAGCTCTTTCTGACTTTCGCAGCTGGCAACGGCGGCAGACTACCAGCCGGAGGACTCGCGGCCGGTCGGGACGGTTCTGGTATGGTGGACATAGAGCGCTTATATATTTTGAGGTCTTTCGTGTTTGTTCGTTGCACTGTCGTGATAAATGGACCAACTTCACAAGGGGGCTCAGATTAGAAGTGGCATGGTCATGGGGGAATAATGAAGGTGCGCGAGCTTGAGAAGCCAATATGCAGGCCCAGAAACCAGACTATCAGATGAGCTGGCAAAAGTCAGATAGGAGATCGGGTATATGGAGCATCATCATGGCGACACAACAGGAAGGGCCCAGTTTATGCCTCGGATGAATTGATCAGAAATGCGGACATGCGTTTTTTATACTAGATCAAAGCAAGACAAGCCCCGCTGGCACTGACAATGTTCGTAGAACGCCATGTCGGAGGAACAGAGAAGAAATGGATAGATAGAGAGAAAATTATAGGCTCAATACATAGAAACTGAAGCCAGAAAACTTACAGTAATATGACGACTGTCTCCTATTCGCGATGTAGGCCTGTAAGCCACCTCGAGTGCTTGAGATGATACAGGATCTGGACCTTGCTGGGGCATTCAATAGGGGGTGAATCTGAAGCCTTCAGCAGCCAGGCCAGAAACAAAGAATGGGGCCTATATGGCTCTTCGATGTTGTTATGTTTCCAATTAACTCACTCCAAGCAACTGCTCGGAGCGCCTTCTTGTAGCGTTTCTGGGTAATATCGATGGGGACAGACGAGAAATGCTCTTGTGTAATATCGATGAGCGAGCGCAAGAGAATATACAGGCAGAGACGACTAGGATGAATAGCACTGTAAATAAGCGTAGAAGAGCCAGGTGTTGGACTGAAGGTGGTCAGGGCCGTCGTCCTCCATCCTTTTAGCTCGATTTTCTTAGTCGCGTCTAGTCTGGTAGACACGGACGGAGTAAAGGGAGAGCGGGACTGAATCTCCCCTTCCATGTTGTCTAAGGAAGGACAGGGAGAAATCAGTTTTCCGAACTCCTACCTATCAACGACATGAATAATTCAGTCGTGTTTAGCTAAATGAAATGAATTACAAAGTGGTATTGAGTGCTAATCTACGGGTGAAGTTACAATGATTATACTTCCTCCCCATGGATTAGCACGCAATATATAAATTTATTCTGCTTATTATGCTGTCTGTATTATTACAGAAGGTGATTATTGTGTTGGTGGACTTCATCTGATGAGTGCTTGGTACTCGGTACTTGTTTTATCCCTACAAAGAATGGCGAAGAATTTTTTGTCGAGATGCTCAAGACCTGAAGTTGCTCTCAATAAGCGCGTGCTTCATCGTGATACTGTTTTAGACCAGCTGTTCAGCGGTCTCCACAGTAAAGTGGTCAGCATCTTGATTAGAGCCAAAACAGACCAAAACAGACCAAAACAGACCATCACAGAGTAAACAGATCAGAATATGGTACCTGAAGTTGAGGGGTACCTTGGGTGGATATGGTGCTTTAAGTTATTAAGTGTACCTTAGTTAGGTTAAAGTACGGTGCTTGATAAGCACTAGATAAAAATGTTTTGTACCAGTCCACCAGGGGTAAAATATGTCCCCATATTTTGCGTACCCAGGATCATCTACCGAGTAAGTCAAGATACTAAGGAACATACACACCTTACCTTAAGATAGGTTCCCTCCTGGACAGGCACTCCATACCAAGAATATAACTTACCTTTTATTATTGTACAGAAGTAACCTTCCAAGGGTTGAAGCTACCTTACAGGAAGATGACCTAAATACACAGATACACAGGGAAAAGATCATTCAGATACGCATATGTTTGATTATGTCCCGATTCCCGTCTTATTTTTTCCGGCCTCGAAGCTGGTTGACAGCGTTTCCTAGTGCTACTAAGTACTTATGTGATAATTAGCATTATGGGCACCTTGAGCACCTGATACCTGCCTTAGCCCCACGAGCACCTCACATTTAAATACATGGAACCATAAGGTATATCGATAGAATTATCTGTCTTACATGGTAAAAATAAATGCCTACATGGAAGTCATCCAGGGCTGACTTCTATGTTGAGATTAGATGACCCAGTAAGTCATTACCTCGACGCAAGGCCTTCTACGCAAGGCCCTCTACGCTCTGAAAGCTGATATCGTCACTTATTCGACGCAATATATGTAAGTAACTGTAAAAGTGACCTATCAACACGCATAATAGAAAGTTGCAGTAAAGTTCATATGATTCGTTCTTGTAGCCAGTCTACTCTCAAGGCCTTCAAGAGAGATAGTCCATATTATTGGCTCCATAACATTCAGACAAGCCCATACTCTCCGACTGAAGGCTTGAAAAGCTAGATGCAGCATTACACTCTACATCCATGAATAGGATACCAGAATGTGTGCGCAAAACACCAAACAATCCATGTTAAGAGGATCAATTGCCCGTCTGGAGAATTGCGAGAAATGTATTACTTCCAAAGTATCCACAAAGGGTCAGATGCCTGTTTCCTATATATCGTATCGAGTCAATGCGTACCAATTGCTACTTGAGTCTGCTAGAACTTGGATTGAAAACGAAACGGTCAGAATATCAAGTTGGTTGAGAGCGCCACCAGGGGTGTGAGAAAGGTAGGGCGTACCCTGACCCTATCGCACTTCAAGGACGGCGAGTGTCTCTCACCATCCTGGAGCACCTCAACAGCCACAGGGAATGTCTCGAAGATGAGCTCCGGTGCGACACCAAGTCCGACGTATTGGAGATTTATCGTGCACAAGGTAGGGTGATCATTTTACTGAAAGACTGTAGCGGCTCAACCGTCTTTAACTGCCAAAGTCTTCCAAGGAGGGCAGGATTCATGATCTGCAAATTTGCTCACGCACAGCGGGGATGTTCTCTCAAACTCAACGCATCAAACACCGGAGTTTAGTCGTGAGTGACAAAGGTCGCCAATACGTAGACATCGCTCTCGAATGAGAGCATTAGAGGGCGGGCTCGGTGCCAATTTCGAATGTGAGTATCAGATATAGAGTCCACTATATTTAACGCCTGACTGCCATGAAATCTAGCTGTCGAGCGGCATTCTTGAATGGACCGTCGTCCACCTCGCCACCCCGCCTTGAGAGATCGTCACCCATTTTCTTACTCCCACCAGATTTACGAGGAAGATCCTCCTGAGCCGTCGGCCTTGGCTCGGTCGACCACCAGCCGTGCTGTAGAATTTGGTAAGCCGTGCTCCGCTTCCTTGGATCCAACGTGCACATCGACATAAGTAGATCTGCACCCACTGGACCTGCCGTGGGGAATTGCCGTAAGAAGAAATCACGACCCTGTAGTGGAACAGTGCTTTGCCTATCCGAGGGGATATAGTTGGGCAACGTACTGACTCCCGGCCAATTCTCTTCGGAAGGCGTGCCGAATGCTTCACATATTTTCGATATTTGATCAATGTCCGAATTTCCGGCAACAAACGGGACTCTCAGAAGGAGTTCAGCAAATACCATCCCCATGGACCATACATCAACGGCCCCAGAGTACTGCCGGGCACCATAAAGCAGTTCGGGCGGTCGATACCAACGGGTTATGACCTGATGTGTCATATTTAAATAGGGATCTGCAAATGATCTAGCCAAGCCGAAATCCGCCAGCTTGACCTCACCATCACTGGCAATGAGAAGATTGTTGGGTTTGATGTCTCGATGTAGCACAAAGTTTTCGTGGCAAAACCAAACACCTCTAGCAAGCATTCCCATCCAAGCTTTGACATCTGCAACACCGTAGTGGATATTTTCATCCTTAATGAGCATCTCCAGATCGCCACGTGGTAAATATTCCAGAACCAGATTGAGATTCTGGTCTTTAGAAGAGAATACATCGTGGAGAGCTATTATATTAGGATGCGATAACTCTTGTAGATATTTCACTTCGCGAATGGCATCCATAGGAAGACCGTCCTTGTACTCAGTATTGACTTTGATTTTCTTGATCGCCACAAATGACGAGGGGTCGTTGCGAAGATGCCCAAGATATACGACGGCATAGGTACCCTCACCCAGCTTCTTATCTATATATTATATGTTAACGAAGGACGCCGAAAAAGAGAATGGGAAAAGGATCGAAAAACTGGTACCGTACCCTTGACATATTTGTGTTGAATGTCTTCGTTTAATAGCTCTGTGAGTTCACGGTCAATATCTGATTGTGATGTAGGTGCACCTCGCTCTTCGTTGACTGATTTTTGGGTAGAAACACCCCGCAATTTAATTGCTGCACTTAAACCTGATGCGGTGGCTGACGGTGACGGAAAAATTGAAGGTGAAAGTGCCATCGCTCGAATCTCTTCTGGTTTGATCCCGTAGTCTTCACAAACGAATTGTGAAGAGAGATGGCTTCGTACCTAGGTCATCAAGACTTTGAAAGCAATACAAAGCCTATAGATGAGAAGCCTAGATGTATTCATGAGGAAATCGTTTGACAGGATCCTTCACATTTGTTGAAGATATGGAGTACTACGACGCCATAGGTAGTTGTGAATTCGGACTATCATTGATCCCGATGATCACCGCATAAGTTTGGGGATCCCTAAATTTCCAGATGCCAAGAGAATCAGCAAAGAAAAAGAATTATTTGAGGGCAGTGTCCCTTTTCGAACCCTTCCAAAACCGTTCTCAACAATAAGTTGTCTCCAATTGTGCCAGTATAGACATTTAATATCTTGAGCTCGCCTAGCATGAAGCTGTGCAGTTCAAATCTGGGTGCTTTGTCTTCGAGACTTATCAAACCATTCACTCTCACCATCCAATGCACTCGTTGCTTCCACAAGAATGCTGCCGCGCCCTCTGTTCCTTCCCCGACGCCATTCGTTCCCGACGTCCAGACCTTCCTTACCTTGATCGGTCGTGATATGAAAAAGCACGCCAGCAAACTGTCTTCTTGGGACAAGCTTTTCACCCTCAACTCCACCGAACTCCGTGAAGTCGGCATCGAGCCTGCGCGCCAACGACGATATTTACTTCGCAAAAGAGAGAAGTTCAGGCAGGGTGTTTACGGTCCTGGTGGTGATTTGGAACATGTCGTCGATGGAGCCGCCCAATTGCGAGTAGTCGCAGTGCCTGTGCCAGGCACCCACACAACCAGAGGCGAACGAGAGTCGAGCCCTCAGGATTCCTCGGCCAACTTATCACCCGGTATGAAGCAAATGATTGTAAATCTCCCACCAGATGCTACCGGCTATGAGCATGAGGGCTCCAGACCCCTCAAGAAATTTGCACATATGAGGATACACCGTGGCTCTTTGATTAGGGGACCCTTCTTGCAACCAATTAAGGGAACAAACGGCAGCGCCGCTCTGATCAAGGTCCAGGAAGGTATGTGGGAGGATAGGCTGGGACACAAAGTTGACGGTGGTGAAAGGAGACGCGCTGAGGTCCGCGCCAAAAAGAGGAGCGAGGAACGGAGGAAGGGCACGGCATAAGCTATTTCCCCTTTACGTTGAATCTGTGATGTCTCAGACGCAGTTCACATTTGTATATTACTCCCACCATCATGCCCTGTATTATCCAGCTTCAATCACATTGCTGTGCCCTACGGTCAGTTTCTTTTCTAATGGGGCTTAACAATGTGTAAGGCAGGGGCACAGGCGTGATTTGTGTGGATCATCGACCTTAGCGACTTATAAAAACATTATCTATTCCTCATAATATGCTATGAAATCAATACAGTATAGAACTTCTAAGTTGAACATCCAGAGATTAAAAGCTGTACAAGTTCTGGAACCGCGAACTGCCAAACGAGATGGCAGAATACCCAGAACTGATGACGAAATTACCTACCATGCAATCATATCAAGAAGAGGCATTGATCGAGTGATTATGATCAGGCTTTCGTAGGGGACTCGCGCTTTTCAAACTCCACAAAAGATCGGCCCAGTGGTTTGGAGAACAGAGACTGGTGGTATTAGTAAGAAGGATTCCGACGTTGATATGGACAAGGATAACTCACAGAGTAGTCTGTGTCGGGGACGCCATCGACACCTGGCAAATTACGGAATTTGAATAACCGCACAAGCACAGCTGTGATTGTGCCAAGCTGTAGATATGCAAATTGTTCGCCAATGCACCTGTGCCGTCCAGCGCCAAAAGGGAGGTACGGGCTATTTGTGCCCTTGTTAACTAACCCATAGCCGTAATCAACTTTCTCATCGTCCTCAGCGCTAGCTGCAATGTTCTCATCCCAACGATGAGGGTCCCACTCGATTGGATTTGAGAAATGCTCCTCAGACCTGGCAGTGACGCCTGGAGAAGAGAGAACATTATGAGATGTCGGGATCACATATGAAGTACCATCCACAGCCATGGGGTTCTTCACGGCTCGAATGATCGAGTGAATCGGTGCATGCAAGCGTAAAGTCTCCTTGATGACCTTGGCGTGCAAATCGAGCTTCTGCAAATTGTCATACGTGAGTGGAGGCAAGTCGGATCCGAGAACACGAATTTGCTCCTGATATAGCTCTTCCATTATATCAGGCCGCGTCGCAAGGCGCAGAACAATCCAGGCAGCAGTAGAAGAGGAAGAATGCTGACCCGCCATCAACAAGGCAATCATCATATGAGCGATTTCCTCGTCGGGAACCGGCGTGCCGTTCTTGTAAACGCAGGACATGAGGTTCCAGACCATGTCTTCAGAATCCTTCTTGTTGCCAGCCTGACGGCGTGCTTTGATGATCTCCATATAAGTTTCGGTCAATTTGCGCTGCGCAGCATCCCTTTTGCGGTTGTGTGGCAAGGGGGCCCAGGGTAACATGAAGTTGATAGGAGCGAAGCCCATGTCAAGGTTATGGTACAACTCTGCGAATGTGGAATCGAACTTGCTTCGAACTTCTTTCCCTTGAAGCGAGCGCGAAGCAGTATAAATGGTGATTTCAGCGATTGTTTTGCATACATCGAAGACGCCCTTGTGTCCCTGGAAGGCCGGAGAATTTTTGACAAAGCTCTCTACTTCATCCGTAATTAGGGGAACATAAGATCGGAGCGCATCAGAGGTTAAACCATATTTGACGAACTAGGATTATTAGTCGCTGGATCCAAGGTGTGTTTTGCCAAAGTCGCTTACCTTCTTCTGCTCCATAAGCTTAGCATTAGGGCAGTCATACACGACATGTCGACCAAAAACAGGCGTAGTCAGTGGTGAATAGACCTCCTCAGCGCAAACATCTCGCAGCTTGCCGTTTAGAATGAAGTCATTGCCCTTCGTACCAAGATACACCGTTGTCTTCTTGCCAAGGAGAACGAATGTGAAGATATCGCCATACTGCAGGGCAAAGAAAGTTAGCTAGAGACATAATTTGGCTGCGACAATGCAAACCTTTGCGCGGCAGTCGAAAAAGAATTTGTATGGATCAATGCCATAACTGATGGTGCTGCCAATAAAGGGGAACCAGTGGAAGACCACTGGAGGCTCGTGAGGATTTTTGAACAGAAGCTGCTGCAGGACATTGATAATGACAGATACAGCGAGGATGGACAGTAGTCCGACCCCAACAAGCACCCATGTTGACTGCGTCGAGCAATGCTTGCAGATTCCGTCGAGAATAAATGCGATAAGACCCATCGCTGCAGCAGTGTTCAGATTGATCAACCGAGTGCCTGTCGCAGCGAATAAAGGAAGGTTGAGCGTCTCGCCTAGAGGCACCCTCCTGATTTGAACAGAAATGGACGAACTTTGAGAGGCCTCAAGAACGCACGAACAGACAAACGAACCGAGAGTACAGGAATTGAGGAAGATCAAATGGAGATGGGAAGAATAAGGATAAGTATTTGCTGGTTGGCTTGTTTTTTTCTGGGCAAGTATCCAGTCACCGCCCATGGATGGATCCTTTCTTATTTCTTATTCACCCACCAGGCATTTGAGTCGTTAAGCCCCTGGACTAACTGGCCCTAGTTGCGCTAGACTAATCTGATTTGGCAAAGCAACCTATGGTAATGTTCCTTGAATAATCACGCCACTTCAACGGAGCCGGGTGTCTAAAAGAATATATCTCATGGTTGGATGTAATTTAGTACCATGTATTGCCAAGGATCCAAGGCATCGTGAAAGGCACAAAAGAGGGAGAGCTGAGAATCGCGACTACAAGGTACTCTACATTTGTCTCTAGTTTAGCTTTGGTGGACAGACGAAAATGCAACGGTATTGCCTGGTGGTCACAGGTAATCTACTAACTTCAAACAGTTAGATAGCAGGCAGGGCTCATGATGCTGTGCAGCAGTCATTGTCCAATCCCCTTCTGCTCGGGGTAGCATCAACTGACAGGCGAACACACGACTGCTACAACTTAAATGAGCATATCAATACTGGTCATTATGTGGCGCTTTTGATATCATTATTCTGATACTCGAGGTTTAAAGGGCTCTTGACTGTCAGGCGGCTGAACTGGGCGATCATCCCTTTGCAACATCCCAACGTTAACAATGATGCGGTTTTGATGTGAAAAGACGGCCTCCAATCACTTATAATGAGTTGTTGGGTCTTCCGCAAACAAGACTGGGTCACCGCGCTCTCCAAGATTGACGAAATCCTTGGGAGCGCTATTCTCATCGGGCGGGGCCTCATTCTGATGGATAGTATGGGCTGGCTGGTTGTGCATGCGCTTGCCAGCATTGTTCTTGTGGAAGACCTTCACAGGAGCGCCGGATCCTTCGTTGTGTTCGCTGAAATGAGCGTCATTGATGCTGCTGAGCAATGTCCGCTCGCGCTCGACTTTGCGTTTTGAGAAGTCGAGCTTTCCCAGCGCACCAGTCAGCCCCTCTGTGCTATCGGAAACGCTCATGTATTTCCCGGTAAGCCAAGGATGTTCCAGACATTCATCCACCGTGATTCTCTTCTCAACGTCAACTGTAAGCATCCTGTCTATCAGGTCCAAAGCTGGGTCGCCCACAGAATCCCAGTACGGTGATGGATAATCAAATCGGCCCATTTTGATCTGCTGTGCCAATGTGAAGGGGTTCTCACGCGTGTAGAGTTCATCTGAGAAAGGGGGAAATCCGCAAAGGCATATGTATAGAACGACTCCCAATGACCAGATGTCCACAGCTTTGGTGTATCTTCGACGACGAGACTCCTGTAAGATCTCTGGAGCGACATCTAAGAAAATCAGAACTGACGAATTCCCAACTGGCTGGTAGTCAACTTACAACTTGGTGTCCCACACCTATGAAAAAAATGGATCAGTTATGGCAAAGGAGAAAAACGGTCTGGGAAAGAGAAGGCAGCACATACAGAGTTGTGGTGAATGAATCTTCCCCGATGATCTTCGCAAGTCCAAAGTCACCAAGTTTCACAGTTAGCTTTTTGTCTGCTACAAGTATATTCTCGGGTTTAATGTCTCGATGGACGATGCCACGATCATGCTGTGTTTGAAATCAGTCCAAGTCTCCTTTTCCATCGGGGGTTTGCCTCCCATCTACAAAATGGATGGTTGAATGGTAGCGTAGATTGCGACCCAATGAACAAAGAGCTTACCAGGTATTTCAGACCCTCAAAGAGCTGAACGAAGATATGGCGGGTTTCTTCTTCGGAAAATTTTTGTCTGCTAACGATTAGATTAAAGAGCTCGCCCTCAGGTGCAAGCTCGAGAACGAGATATACGCCATCAGCTTCGTCGAAGGTATCCTTCAAGCACAGAAGATTCGGGTGATTGACCCCCATTAAGAGGCCAATCTCTTGCTGCAAGGACTCAGTCTGAGACTTCTGAGAATCGCCAGGACGTCTCTCAAACACTTTGACGGCATATCGAGTGCCAGTCGCACGTTCTACACATAAGTAAACAGTTGCAAAATGACCTTTTCCGAGCTGCTGAAGCAACCGATACTGCTGGCGGAAACCATTCGTGTCTCTCGTCCGGGGGTATCTAAAAACGAATCGTGCTTCATCCAGGATGGTGATTTCATCGCCATCTTCAAGCTCGCGATACTTGTTTCGCCCGATAATGGCATCATTTACAAAGGTGCCATTGCTGGACAGATCTTCCACAATTGCGACAGAATCGCCGTTCTTGTTTTCGCTGAATATTAAGAAATGACGATTGGATATTGTGGGAATATTAATAACCAGGTCTGGATGCCGTTAGAATTTTCAGGAAAGGAGCAATAGCTGACTGTAATCACCCACCGCACTCTGGATGACGACCGACCAGATAACCCCCAGGAGGTCGATTAGGTCTTTGTCTGCTGATTGGACTCTTGTCTTGAGAGTGCTGGGATTCTTTACTCGGCTGAGTCTTTGAGTCACCGTTCTTGCGAGTATCGCAGCTATGGCGCTTTCTCAACACAAGCGCATCTCGAACTTTGTCATCGAGAGGAATCAGATAACCCCAAACTCCCTCTGCTGCTTCATCCTCGACTTCATCAGCGAATGCCCTGGGTGGATAAACGAATTGTGAAAGAGCTTGAGTGTCACCAGGAGGAGATGAACACGCCT